ATTCGTCACTTTCAATCACCCACCAACAATGTCCCGGGACCACCCCACATAACACTTGTAAGTATAGACGCTCTAGTACCAATATGAACGACAAAACGAAATTGGCGATGCTCGCTTTCTAGCCCCTCTTATCAGCTATTATCAGTCGTTATCAGTTCCTATCACATACCACTTGTGTCCCCATCCCACCCCCTATAACATATGTAAGAACCATGGCGCTATCGTTGCTGTGACCCGAGCTATGAATTTCGTGACAAACACACACACACAGACATACTTAGCGAATTATATATAGTAGGATAATATTACATAGGCATTTATATCAGGAATAGAATTCTTGGCAGGCCTCCAGCTGATCTTACCATTGTCGTATTCGAATCGTCCGGAATTGGTGGTTGCGTGGGTCGTTCGAAAATGAAGCTCTTAGACGGTGTTGTTTCCTCGCCAGACTCATCATCGTCTTTGTCGTTCGAGTCATCGTCTCCCTCTTCCTTTTCCTCCTTTTCCTCTTCCTCCTTCTCTTTTTCCTTCGTGGCTTTTGGTGGCTCTGAATAAATGACGGTATACATTCGAAAATTGTTCGAAAAGGATTCCCTCTATTGACACCCTTTGAACACCACTGTTCTCACCTTCTTTCTCCTTGACTTCCTCTTTTTCCTCCTTTTCTTTGTTCTTTTCATCCTCGTCCTCCTCTTCCTCCTCCTCCTCTTCTTCATACTCTATTTCCATTTTTGGAGGAGGTTTCCTGTAATAAAGTTCGTTACAGAACTGTTTAGCAAATGAAAAAGTTGGAACAATGGGTCCTACCGTCCTTTTCCTTTGCTTGGCTTTCGCTTAGGTTCCCGAACTTCCTGATTGGCTCGAGCTCGACCAATTGCCGCTTTGTCTTTCGTCTGACAATTAACACAGGAATCAATCACAAATTTCACTCAATCACAATTACTTTGACAAAAAGGATTTTACATACCTCGAAACATGCCAACACTTCCAGCTGTTCACTGCTGAATTTCGCACATCCAGTAGGATTCAATTCTTCAGCCAACATGTCGTCGCCAGTGAACGATGCACATCCGATCGTATTGTACTCTGTCATATGGCCCAGCTTTGACTTGATTCGTGCCTGAATTAAAAATGACGTCAGGTGACGGCTAACAAACGCAATAGTATATCTTAGTGAAGATAGCATGATAAATAAGGTTGAGGAAATAGAAATATAGACGGTAGAGGGGTAGAAAGGCCCCTCCAAAAATGCATACGCTGCACAGGGCTGCCCGCTGCAGCCGCAACCTGATGGCCTTACTCCTCGATCCGCGGGGTAAGGCCCAGGTTTGCTACAGCGAGCAAGCGTCTGAATGAAGGCGGATTTTACGAGGAAAAAGGCCTACTGAAAAATAAGGGTAGACGTGGTCAGGGGTGTACGGATGAAGAAGAAATCATGAGAAACGGCTCAGAACCCGGGAAGTAGCACCCGTTCCTTGCCCGTTAATTTCTGCAATGATGAGAATCTCATCGGTGTTGCCCACTTCATCATTAACAATCTCCTCTACCCTAGTAGAGGGCAGACAGTTACGGAGGTGACGGCAACTAGCGGCGCCAACATAGGCGGAGACGGCATGCAGCGTCAGATCGAAGAAGGAAGGGGGGCATATACCACCCGCGAATGGCGTGTCCGTCCCGTACTCTTTGGGGGGGTCCGCCTGTCTTCCCACTAGGCAAGTTTTCCCTCATCCGACCTTTCATGTGCATGTGCTATAATCGTCTCTGGGGTGTTGCGAAAAGTTTTGACACCCACGTTCCATTCCCTCCTCCCCTGATTGGCCGCCTAGCCTTACCGCACCGCTGACATATTTGACCCAGCTAGTGAGTAGTGCTGGAAGTAGTATTAGGGAAAAGGGTCAGGGTCAGGGGAAGAGTGGTACGGAGATGTCCTAAAAGAGCCACTTTATGTTTAATCGCAAGCCAGTTTCAACATTCGAATCGCGCGATCACGAAGCCTGAAATCAGCTTATCTGCTCTATAAAAAGGCTATACAACCGGTGCTGATGGCCCGCCCTGAGATACAACAAATTCGTTTCCGACAGAGCAGCGAATTGCGAATTTTTGGTCATGCAGAATTCGACAGGGTTAAAGAAATCATATTTTGAGATCTATCGTAATTGCTTCCTTTGAAGAAACCATATTTGTTACGCAAACACAGCATGGAAAACATACCTTGAAACAGAATTCGCCAGTACAAGTGACATTCTTGGAGCTCATCTGGAAAATAGAAATAGTTAGCAATATAAATATCTGTAATTTGTAATTTTGTAATTTTACAGTAACTTTGACCTTCCGGCGAGGTATCTGAAGCCTGCACCGACATCCTTCACCATTTATCGCCTCCCAATAGGGGTCAACCACCCATAGCAGAAGCTCCAAGCAGGGGAGGGGTCTTCTTCTAATCTTTAGAGAGAAGGGACCCTACATGGTAAACGAGGCAATGTTTTTCAGGAGTACGTGGACAGAGAAACTTCTTTATGGAATTAAGGAAGATTTTTTTGACAAACTTTATGAAATTTCGAGAGGACTGCCAACGGCTACTGCCATAAATGGGACACGAAATCGTGTGAGAACTCTCTTCAGAAAGGGAAGGTCAGGTGAACCCTAAATCCACCCAGTACGGATATGTCTCACAATTAACTCATGCTCTTACAAGGAAGGTCTTTCAGGAAATGCCCAGCTTTCTCGAAAACGGTTTTTTGCATGATATAGGGGTACATGCATGGAACACAGAACTGTGTTCATTTTTCCTGAGCGGCCCTCTGAATACCAGAAAAAAGGGGTGATGAAGTGGTCCGTGGTTCGAATCCTCGCAGTGACAATTTTTTGCATTTTGTGTTGGCGTTTCAAAATTCGCGAAAAATAGCGTCAGCGTAAACAACTTATGTCATATCTATAATTAGGACCATCAGCAACCTTTATACGTAGACTTTGGCTAAAAACTGGTGAAGAAAGTTAAGAACGGCAGTTCCTTAAGAAATTTTTCTTCGCTCCTTTTTTGGTATTCAGAGGGTCGCTCAGGAAAAATGAACCACAGTTCTGTGTTCCATGCACGTACCTCTATATCATGCAAAAAACCGTTTCGAGAAAGCTGGGCATTTCCTGGAAGACCTCCCTGGTTAGTGTGAGAGATTGACCTGTTGCATGCCCCAAGATGCACTGGTACGCATTCGCAAGAGAGCAGCATAGGCGTTAGCAAACTACAAAAGCTCTTGAATACTGGTCAAGACTGTAGTTGTTTGAAGGCCACTTCTCTGCGCACTCTCGTACGGCGTCTCTCTCGCGCTTCCCTTTCTTCTCTGCTCGGTCTGAATTTCCATCGGACCACACCCGACCTGACAGAATGTTCAAGCCCTTGATTTCCCTGTTTGCGATGGTTTGGTTTGCTTCTTATTCTTTTTCAGCCCTCCTCGCACGCACAGCCACCTTCATTACTTAGCGCGTCTTACCACAGTCTTATCGCGGCGCTTGCCGTCGAATGATACCTATTTCAAAGCTGAAAAGAAGCGCAAGAGGAAGATAGTGCACTACTAGCAATTCACTTCTTTCTTTTCGCGAAGGAGGCTGTTCTGCACGGGATGACTCACAAACTGGATCGCTCCGGCCATTTAAAATGAGATGTAGTCCAATGGACGCGTCTTGCGACGCTGAATGAGCTCAAATCCGTTTTCGTTATCTGCGGAACGATTCTCTGAAAGAAGTTACGAGGGGATCTTCTCACTTGGCTTTTTTCACTGTGGCATCCTCTACATTCCCCTATCCTCCATGGTTCGCATGAGAACAGCCAGAGAGCATCTCACACAATTGGCCAAGTGGCCTAATGGATATCTCCCTAGACTCATACGAGAGAGGTCACAGGATCGATCCATAGAACCGCAAAGTTTTTGCATTTTTTCATGGCTTCTCATACGAGCCCAAAAAGTGTCTATATTTGGTTATTTTGTTGATTTGCGTCCCCACTTGACATGTGGCTGAGACAGACTTTGGAATTTTCCTCTCGTCCGTCTTTTTAGGTTTTCTATTATGATGAACTTTGACACACGGGACAAAACACAAGGACACAGGCTCGTAAATATACAAAATTTCAATAACTTCGTGAGCATATGTGATAGTTCTTCACATGGTGATCAAAACAAAACAGCTTTTCGCAGTTGCACAGGAAATAAAGAAAGAGCTAAGGTGATGTAGAGGGTGCCACAGTGGGAAAGTCACAAAGAGAAAAATCCCCGTAACTTCTTTCAGAGAATCGTTCCGCAGATAACGAAAACGGATTTGAGCTCAGCGTCGCAAGACGCGTCCATTGGACTACATCTCATTTCAAACGGCCGGACTGACCAATTGACCATTCCTCGTAAGATGAGCAGCACAATGAAATACATTAGAAAGTGCTCACCGATGTTCCCATCACTTTTGCAGTGACGAATGTTTGCTAGCTGGCTGTCGCTCAGGAAACACAAGTGATCTTGTTGTTTTTCCGCATTACAAGTATATAGCGAATGCGTCATACGCATGACTCGGTCTTCAGCAGATCGGATGCGTCCTGAAACATCGAATACTGTATTTCAATACACACACGGTCTCCTGCAATGGACAACATCTTAGTTGAAATCTGCTAAGCATGTATGATGGCAAAACCCATGCTCTTGTGTGCTCTTTAATGACTTCGATGGCATTTGACGCCACAGTCTGCGATTACAACATTTACCAATGCAGGGAAATAGACGTGCTGCTACAACGTTTGTTTCGTTTATGAGATTAACCCTTTTTGTTTTCAGAAGATCCCGTAGGAAAGAAAGTCATGGGTTTAGTGTACGAAAAACGTCCCAAAGCCACGAAAATGAAGATAAGACCCGGTCCAGAGCCAAAAAAGAAAGTGATTCACCTTTTATGCACTTACGAATGTTCCTACCAGTTCAAGTTTATAATCGGTATCGTATCTCGAAGAAATTAGCTTCTTAGATCGGTTGATTGACAGCCTTACCTTTGCTACTGTGTGGTGCATTGCTCCTGTGATTGGAGGAATCATACACGAGCCCATTGATCGTCGTTCCACTAATGGCACCGAAGCGTTCACACAACCCTAAATCAGGAAATTAAATTTTGAGGAGCACAAATATCCAACGAGTCGAGTAACCGCACCTTTTCAATTTCCTTTGTTCGATGATTTATCACATAACTGCATAATTCTCCAAGGCACGTCTCGCCCTTGCAGTGAGCTCCAGAACAAACACACGTCAGCTGAAATCCGTCTGAGTATTCTACAAAAGCACAATCACTGATTTCAGCAAATCCTTTTTCATGCTTTATTTTACAATATCAGATCGCCCACATAAATGGCAGGCATCCGCCCCTCCAATTATACCTAAGTTTATCGTACCCCTTTTACAGCATAGGATCAATTATTATTATTATCATCACCAATGATAATAAGAAGTGATATCTAGAAGAATGTGACGCTAATCCTTCTATTTTATAAAGCGCTAACTTTGTGTGTCGGTTTGTGTATCTGTATGTGTGTGTGTATGTGTATGTATGTGTGTCCGTCCGCAAAATGAAGTGAGTGAGAAGGAAGCTCATGGGATAAACAAACCGCTAACAAATCGGGTAGCTTACAGGATTTGAGATATCAATGTTTTGTAGCAGGATAGTTGTGATAACACTCTTAGGGCTATATAAACACCTGCTTAGCACACTTCCGTTCATTCCACATGGTGCTGCAGTGGCAGCTGGAGGGCAGTGGAGAGAGGAAGGGAGGATGAGGAAGGGAAGCGAAAAATCTACCGTCATATCATGATTGTGTCCCTTCTACTGTTTGAAACACCATTGTGTTGCATACGCGTCACTTCCAGGAGGTGTTGGTGTCACAGGAGGAAGGGACCATAGCGGAGGATAGAAAGCTTGCGCAGGAAAGGAAGGTCCCGGCGGTTGACGGGGGACTAATCTGGTATTATATACGGTGATAAATTGATAGTTTGACTGCTATTTCGTGATAAATACTTCTTCCAGTGTTACGTACCAATTTATTGTACTTTTTCGTTACTTTGAGTTATATGCTTTCAATGTGCCTAAAGGACATGCAATAAATAAACAAATAAACAAGTAAATAAACAAATGCTAAACTACGGTGCATTGCACCAGTGATTGGAGGAATCATACGCGAGCTCCATTGGTCGTTGCTCCACTAATGGTAATGCAATCAATTAAAAAATAAGTAAATAAATAAGTAAATAAGTAAATAAATCAATAATGAGTGTAAATCAATGTAAAAGGCCAGGGAAGGGATCTCGGTCAGGTAATGCGACCAACATCTGATACTGTAGCTACAGTAACTTCCATGAGTTTCGTTACACTTTCTTCTATTGGAAGACAGAGGGAAGGTGAAATGTTCTTTGCACTCTTTCTAAATCTTGAGAAACCAATTATTGATTTTTTCGCGTACCAGTTCAACTGTTTCCACTTCCATTCTTTGTAGCGTTCGGCCACCATTGCAATTGTCTCGACTGTTGCAGAAACACGTGAATTTCTCCTGAAAGAAAAATGACGTTATATGTCGCCATAGGCTGAAGAGCTAATCTAGACTGAAGATGAATAGCAATGGAGGAGGGGGAGGAAGAGAGAGAGGAGAACAAGAGCTTCCAAATATAAAATGTAGTGGTTCCAACTTCAGAACAATGCGGTCTTCTAGGAACAATCTAGGTGTATGAACTGCTGTTTTTTCCAAAGATTACTCGAAATTTGTTACCATACACATAGGAAGACCGTACACATTTGAAGAAGAAAAAGATCAGGAGCACAGAAAGAGGCTTTAAAATATCGCAAATAATAAAATATCGTAACTACACTCGGCTTGACTAATTTTCTAAGCAGATGGGCTCGTTTTTCGCTGCGAAATCTTTTTACAAAAAGTGCCTCATCTTTTCCAGACAAGGATTATCACGAATGCTCTGGAAAATACGACAATTCGATCCCATCAAGACAATAACTTTCGAGAAAGTTCTGATGTCCGTACCCGACTTGATCAAATTGTGTTATTCTCCTATGATGGTGCGCTCACCTCGGGCGGATAGCAATCAGTATTCCTTACAGTATCATTCCTTGCATCGGATCCTCGAAGAAAATAATTTGTAATGGGTGACCCCGACCTAATTCTAGCGTGAACTGACCCTTCGACAGCCCTCGTTTGCCAGGATTTTCCCTTTATGGAAGTCTGACAGCGGTTCAGCTTTGGCCATCGCCTTAGGAACTGAGTGGGATTATAAAAAGGATAAAGCATTTGCCGTTGATCAATCCCTTTTTGGGATGCGGCACGCATTCTACTTCCATTTGTACATTCGTAGTGGCGTTTGAATGCGATGTGGCCTATACAATGACTTACTGGGGCCATGGAAAAGCTCACCGGCAGCGCGGACGCGCTCGCGTGTTGGTGACGTCACAACGGCGGCGAGGAAGCGAGCGA